AGGGCCCGTGTTTATCCCTCTCTTCGCGCGCTCTCTCTCTCTCTCTCCCCTCCAGCTTTCCCTCCTCCCTCCTTCTCCGATGTTGAAGTCAAGCTGATTGTGCACTCACTTGTGTTGCTTTCCACGGGGCCCACATGTACTGCATATTCTTTCTCAACAGCTTATATATGCTTGTATCTTTGCTCCATGGTTATGTAGGCAACATCGCAATATGATTCCACTGCTACAAAATTAAGGAAACATTGTTCGCGCTTCTTGTGCCAAAGACCTTCGGCTCTTGCACGCTGCTGTACATCATTGCCGAAGGTTGCTTCAAAACCACTTGTGGGCTCAGGTCTGTTGTTCTGACCAAAACATACCAAAACCATATATTGTTTCCCCCTTTGGTGGGCACTGCTTGGTTTCCAAAGGAGATAATGCGGGCGTCCGCAAGCTGTCGCAAATAATTTGGAAGACAGGATCTGAGCCCCTGAAGACTCTGACGACCTGAAGCCTTGAAGATCTGCATGTGCTTTCCCTTCTCTGTTTGTGTCTTCATGGACACCCGTAAAATACCGTAAAAAATATGAAGTGCAGTCACTGCACCGCGTTGCAACATACTGCTTCGCATGCCCTAATGACCCCTAGCCCCCAATGCCACTCTTTCCAATGTAACTGCGCTTCCTGCAAAGGGATTCCAGCATGCGAGTGCACAAGTGAGTCGTTTTCCGTGTGTGCAAGCGAGTGCCATGCCCACAAGAAGAGCCTCCACGAAACAGCCACAAAGATACTATGTGGAGGGAAGCACATCCCAACATCTTCACTTGCTCCTGATCGGCACGCAATCTTTGGCATCCGACACCCCTTTCCCCAACCTGTATGTGCTGTCGGAACCGTACATGTGCTTACAGTATCATTTACGCCACGCTCATTTTCTCTCAACATTGTCAACAACCAACATCTTCATCATCTTCATCTCTCATGCCTCTCTCTCTCTCTCTGAGTGCATTCCGAGGGCATGGCCATTGGAATCAGGCACCATGTGCCATGCGGGAGTCCGTATACCGGGGCCGTTGTCACCCGTTTTGGCATCAGTCGACTGGTGTGATGGCTGCTGCGATTCTCGTGTTTTGGAAAATGATCGCTCCCGTTGGGGTGCTCCACTGGTCGCTGCGAGTGCACTTTTGTTTGGTCCGGTTGACTGACTTGGGCTCAAAGGTGGAACTGCCCGTGGCCGCATCCGTGCTTGCGCCAGGGGATCGTTTTCATCAGGAGAATCCTCCAATGCCGGTCTTGCTTTGAGCGGCCTTGGGGACCGCGGCAAAGCCTTTGGCTGCAAAGGCGCATGCGGCACCGCTGCCTGAGTCCAAGCAGAAAGAATTGCAACTGCTCAAGCTGTCAAAGGCAACTTGTTTTTGGCTTGAGAACTCTTGAGAAAGAGAAAGGTCTAAGCTAACGGTAGCTTGCTTTCCGAAGAATCTAGGAACCGTTTCCATCATGCGAAGGGTTCTTCATGAGAAGTTTCCTACTCATGCTGAACAACTTTAACTTTAACACTGAACCATGGGCATCTTGCGGCTCAGTCGCAAGGTCAACTTGTGGATCAGAGAGGCGTGATGGAGACGGTGAAAATTGTCGAATGATCAAAGAAGCTGTGGGGGAAGGGGGTGACAAATTGGAAGCTGTAGCACTCTGATTTGAAGGCCGGTCAGACAAGCACCATGAGCGAGTGATCACCTCTGGAGCAGAAGCTCTTCGTCGGCTTACGTGTCGCAAAGACAAGTCCGATGGAAGCAGTGTCTTCGAAGGCCGACGATGTGCATCCTCAGCACTTGGCGACGTTGATGCGTTTGATGGATCAAGTGGCGCAGGCGCGGAAGACAGTGAAGGCTTTGCAGAAACTTCGATCGCCTCAGTCTCCTCCGTTTGCTGAGTTCGGGAGGCGCTGCATGGTCGGCCTACTCTTTCTGCTGGATTCTCGTCCAGGACATAAACGGGGGCAGATTGCAGCGCCGACTGAATCTTTTCCCGGCGCTCTTTCTGCAAGAATCTGCGCTTCTGTCGGTCTAAGCTGTCGTTCCAAAGCCGGCCAAAAACACCTTGGCAGTACTGTTGCCACGTGGTGACACAAAAGCATTTAGGACTGGGAAAGTCTGTGCCTGACAAAAAGGTCTCTCTTGGAGCTGATGGTGATGATCAAGCAAGGCTAGCTAAAGTCACTGGCTGAAACATGTCGTAGGTCTGAATTGAGGGTGCATTGCAATTACTTGATATTATATACTTGCAATTTCTTGCTGTCGAGGTGCCTTTGACTTCACCAAACAGTGCAGAGCGTCCAAGTTTGGTTACTTTCTGCAGGCCTCATCTGAATGAATCTGAATGAAACAAAAACACACAAACATAATATACTCGAGCAAACAACGTCAGCGACCTGCTCTCTTGTCGCAATGGGCCTAATTAGCCTAGCAACAGCGCTGCAAATCTTCATCAGCTTCCAGTGCGGGGGATGATTTCAAAGCAGCTTCTGCCATTCGGACCTTGTCGATCGTCGATCACCAAATCTCTGCAAAAACACATGGCACTGCGTTCATTGCTTCAGATCTACTACTGTGTATCCTGGAACTGTGACATCTCAGAAAAATTGCACTTGAAGGCCTGATCATTGAGGAGCGCAACTGCTTCCCTGGTCTGCGCAGACTCTTCCACAGCGCACTTCAAGGCAACTGCTACGCGTGCAGTTATTTCGCACATCCCGTTGAGCTCTTCTTGGAGCTCCTAAGAGGATGCCGATCACTGGCTCCACGGTTCTGTGAAACATCCTTATCATGGTGCTTTCATGCACTCCTTGGCTGCCACAGCGGCTTCCTTTGCCGTCTTTATGAAGGAGCTCCGAGGGCTGTGTTGTGCTCCTTCTTCACCTGAGTGAACACAAATCACGACATTGCCCTCCTTACTTGCTAAAACAAAACATTCATTTACAGTACATTCCCTTTCCGTTCTTTTTGTCAATTTCCTTCTTCTTTAGACCTTTTTCTTGTTTCCTTCCTGTCTTTATTTCCTTCTATGTTCCCTTCTTGACTTGTGTAACGTGGTAACTTCTGATGTGTTCAGATTCGCTGAGGCATAAACATCAAATCAAGCAATTATGTTTGCCTCACTTGGCTTCCAACCTTCTGGTCTGTCATCCAAAGGTGCTCGTTGTAACACATTTGTCAGCTTGCGCAGCTTCTTCAGACGTGCCTGCAAGGCTCAGGTCAGCTCTCTCAAACACCACAAGTGCCTGCATTCTCGTGGAGCCCTCGTTAAGAACAAAAAGTGCTGTGGATCGCCTTCTACTTGGGCCTACTGTTCATGAGGGTTTTGAGACGATTTTGTCCTAGACTGGATGGTGAGTGAGGCCTATGAGACCTTAAGTCGTAGACGGTACGACCCCCCTGCTAGTCCTTACCAAAACACTCTACTTTGACACCAAAGTTGCTTCAAATCTTTCCGTTGAACATCATTCACTTTCAATTGCCTAGTTCTCAATGCCCATGGTGCTTGTTGCACTGCCTTGCCTGCACTCGCTCAACTGCTGATGCTGCAGTGGCACCTGTAGAGTGAACATGCTCAGTGCTGGTACAACACAGCACTTGCAAAAGTTCTCTGCCGCTCTGAAGGTATTTGGACGTCTGGCTTGGCCGACGCCATTGCCATTGGTCCCCCAAAAACAACTATATAACGCCGCCAGGTCAGGGGCCTAAGCTCTCTTCTGAGGCATGGCCGACATTCTCCGAATCCTTACCACCAATGCAATTTGGCGGAATTCCATTGAGTTCTGGGAGAACATGAGGCCTTCATAGACCTTCTGATTCACATGCTACAATATCACAGCAGAAGCTGTGCACTTGGGCTAACGGTGGCAGATTGACAATGAGCTGAACAATCGAAGTACTGTAAAGCGTCTGTATGAGCTTCTGTTCCAGCTGTTGCCAAAGATAGCAGCTCATCATGCAAGTGGTTGATCCCACTATTGATCGCACCGCTGGCATCAACCTGCACAAGGTCCACGAAGCTTGGGTTACACAAATCAACAATGCTCTCCCCGCCCATCTCTTGCAGTATTGAGGACAGCCGCACAGGTGTACCCAGCACGCGCTCTTCTTTCGTCATTTCATCTCAGTCCCTGGCGTTCTGATCATCATTTGTGTGCCTCACCATCTGAGATTTAAGCCAGTGAAAAGCTCGCAGCCAAGCAGTATTGGAATGAAGGGTAGGGGAAAACAGCGCGACGAGTGGGAACATGTGACAAGCAGGATGGTTGGTCAAGCTGCTGCGCCGAAGAAGTGCCAGAACTAGAACATTCTTTCTGCTTTCTGTCCTGTAGCAGACTGGTGCTGAACCTATTGAGTGGTGTAAGTGCTGAACCTATTTCTTGCTTTAAGCCAACATCAAGCTTCAGTCAGGTCCTTTCCAGGAAGCAGTTGCTGCGTCATTTCGGCCAAACATTCAGCATGTTGCAACTCCAGGTCAGCCTCTGCAGGAATTGGGTACGTGAGTCACGACATAGCTGACTTTCAGTTGCATGCAACAATGCAAGTGAATAGTAATACTAAAAGTGGTCGACGCCACCAAAACCTTTTCCACCTCGCTTGAGCCTTCCAGGCTTCCAACGACACTAACCCCCTTTGGCGCAAGTGCTCCGCCGCTTCGCGGCTCTGGGAGATGCGCTGCCGGTACCGGCGTTTTCGCTCGGCAGCGTCCTCGCGAAGCGCTTTCGCTTGGGCCGTATCTCTCAGAGACCAGCTGTTCTCTGAGATCGCCATCATCAGTCGGCCATTGCCCATCAGCTTGGTCAGGTCGTCCGCGATGTGGTCGTTGCCTGGCACCCATCGTACCAGACGGTTCCCACCATCCTCAAACAAGGCCTGCTTCATCGCCGCGATGTCGATGGCCAAGCGGCGATATTCACCATGCCCTGACCCGTTCAACAGGTCATAGCCCGTGCGGCTGTCCAGCACTGTCACCAAGCGCCAGTGAGCCACGTGCAGCAGCCATTGGTCGATGTCGAATGCGACATACAAAGCCTCAGCCATCACGGCTCTCAAGAAGTCGGCCTGATCCAAAACCTCCGCCGCCTGGCTGATCTCGGCTGCCAAACTTGACCACCCTCTTGAGCAAGGCCGAATGGAAGGTGATCGGCGCGGCCGAAGCTTTGCCCTCCAACATGTCAGGATGTGCTATGAGGTGCTCCACCCTGACTGCGACCATGCGGCATGTCCCCAAAGCAAGCATCCGAGGCCGCCACCACCATCCATTGTCCAGGAAATCCCCAGCGGCTTGAACCGCATCGTCTTCACATCCTTGGCTCTTTCCACCAGAACATAGAGCTCGTCCAAGGCTGCAGGGTCGCCCACACCAGCCAACTGCTGTACGCGAGAGACCCCAAAGAGCAAGTCGCCACGGCATTGTCTAGCCAGCCATGACAGTTGACCGCACACATGCCCCACCCACTTGCGCTCGTTCAAGGTGAGCTCCGTGCCATCCTTCTCGATGGGGTTGCCCCTCGTCCTCTTCGGCGGGAATTGAAGCTTCTCACAGAACTTGGAGCCGACCGTGTAATCGGGGGAGGATTGGTTCAATCGGGGGAGGATTTTCCTTGTGCCGGAAAGAGGGGTAAGCATTTCTGGCATCACAAGGACTGTGCATACACTAGGGCGTCCGTAGTGTAGGATAAGCGCTGGTAAAGGGCCTTGAGGAAATAGCCGGCTTATGGTTATGGCAAATCTGGGGGGTAAATTTACCCCCCGCTTATGCATGCACTAGGCTAGAAATAGGGTAAAATAAAGAACTTGTAACAGTGAAGTACAAGGCCTATGCAGCAAGCAGCAGCCAGCAGCAGCCGCCAGCAGCAGCCGCCAGCAGCCAGCAGCCAGCAGCAACCACCAACCAGCAGCCAGCCAGCAGCACCACGCAGCAACAGCGCAGCACCAAGCCGCAGCAGCAGCAGCACCACCACCAGCAGCAAGCAGCAAGCAGCAGCAGTAGCAAGCAGCAAGCAGCAGCAGCAGCAGCGGCGTCGTCAGCAACAGCAGCAGCAGCGGCACCAAGCCGCAACAAGTAGCAAAGCAGCAGCTACAAAAGCGGCAACCAGCGCCAGCAGCAAACAGCAGCAGCAAGCAGCAGAGCGGCAGCAGCAGCACCGTTTACACCAAGCCACCGTTTACACCCAACCAACCACGTTCACACGTTCAACCAACCCCCGCTACACGGCGCAGCTGGGAGTCGAACCGTTGGGGGGGGGTAGCGTGATATATCAAGCTTTAAGGCACACAGCTCATCCCACTACCAATTGCTAAAGCAAAGAAGAACTCAGCTAGCATGCTAGCTTTCGTGATCAAGCTTTAAGGCACGCAGCTCATTCCACTACCAATTGCTAAAGCAAAGAAGAACTCAGCTAGCATGCTAGCTTTCGTGATTATCTACCGCTTTTGTATGCCTTGGGTAGGAAAGAGGGGTGAGCATTTCTGACATCACACGGACTGTACATACACTAGGGCGTCCGTAGTGTAGGATTAACACTGGTAAAAGGTATAAGGAATAGAGTGTCTTGGGGCAATAGCCGGCTTATGGTTATGGCAAACTTGGGGGGTAAATTTACCCCCCGCTTTCGTATGCCTTGGGTCGGAAAGAGGGGTCAGCATTTCTTGCACCACAAGGACTGTACATACATTAGAGCGTCCATAGTGTAGGAGAAGCACTGGTAAAAGGTATAAGGAATAGAGTGTCTTCAAGAAATAGCCGGTAGCAAATTTGGTGGGTATGGATACAATCAACAAGTTTGCCAAACCACACATGTCCAAGACAGTAAATTCAAACACTTTACTCTCAGGTATTGAAGATTCATCAACTGACGAGGCGCAGCCAAAATGTTATGTGATGCATCCACAAGAAAAAACGAGCAAATGACCATGCTTCCGACGAAGCTGACCATGCTTCCGACAAAGCTCGTCAATGAATCCTAAATACAAACACTAAGAGTGTCTAGATGAAATAGCTGGTTTACTGTTATGGTAAATCTGGAGGATAAATTTACCCACCGCTTTTGAATATGCCTTGGGTCGGAAAGAGGGGTGAGCATTTCTGACATCACACGGACTGTACATACACTAGGGCGTCCGTAGTGTAGGATTAACACTGGTAAAGGGTATAAGGAATAGAGTGTCTTGGGGCAATAGCCGGTAGCAAATCTGGCGGGTATGGATACAATCAACAATTTTGCCAAACCACACATGTCGAAGACAGTAAATTCAAACACTTTGCTCTCAGGTAATGAAGATTCATCAACTGACGGGGCGCAGCCGAAATGTTATGTGATGCATCCACAAGAAAAAAACGAGCAAATGATCATGCTTCCGACGAAGCTGACCATGCTTCCGACAAAGCTCCTCAATGAATCCTAAATACAAACACTAAATCAGTGGATGTTTTGCAAAAATGCATGCAAAATCCCATGGGTGTCATCTTGATTCTCCAATAATTACGTGTGCTTCCACTACCCAGGATCATCCAAAATTCAAGTGCATGATGTCTTTGACATCCTGGTTTTGAATGCGCACCCCAAAATCAAAAATACCAAACAAAACACCAACAATTTCCAACATGTAACAACACCTCCACTAATGCCAAAACGCCTGCAGCTGGGAGTTGAACCGCGGGGGGGGGGAGGTCCTTAGCGTGATATATCACGCTAGAGTGGGGGGGCCAGGCCC